TGAAGATGGATAACTTAAGTGGAAGTGGGATAAACAACACTCATGTGGCAAAAAATGTAGAAACATCCGATGGGAGAAGCACGTCGGGGTATAACGAGTTGTTTCTGCGCTTAGAGCAAAAGATCCTGGAATTGCTAGGCGAGTTAGACCAGGTCCGCAACCCTGCCAACTTGTCCCTCACCCTGAACGTCCCAGATATCAACCACCAAAACATCACTACCTAAAATCCACCACAACGTCAGAACCCACAACCACAAGCTCCACAGAATCATTCTACCACCCAACAATACCAAAACCCCATACCTACACAAAATTTGAATCCTCCACCATGACATGTTCCACAACAAACTCAATACCCATAAGCTGTTACTTACCCCTCTCCTCAAAATACACCACAACCCACTCATGATCTACCCCAAGCATCCATAAATGATCACCCATATCCCCACGTCCCTAGAACCCACCAAAGCAATCTCATATATGTGAAAACCTTGGCATATATAATAACCCATCAAACTCTATATACACCCGAACCTATTGAAAAAGACTTGCTCATTAAGAACAAGGCCGAGGAGGTGAAGAAGCTATCTAGAAGGGTCCAGAGTTTTGAAGGAGGAAAGTTTATTGAAGGCCTGAACTATGAATATTTATACATTCAACCTAATGTCGAGTTGCCCGAGGGTTACAAACCTCCAAAGTTCGAGATGTTTGACAGCACCGGTAATCCCAAAGAACACCTGGGAGCTTACTGCGACAAGCTCGTAGGCATGGGTAAAAATGACCAAATTTGCATGAAGTTGTTTATGCGAAGCCTCACAGGAGTTGCCTTGTCATGGTATATCAGTCAAAACCCAAAACAATAGTCCAATTGGGTGAATATGGCGTCTGATTTTATGGACATGTTTAGGTTCAACACGGAGAGTGCTCTAGATATGTTCTACATTCAGAACCTTAAGAAAAAGCCCACCTAAACCTTCCGTGATTATGCTACCCATTGTAGATCTGAAGGTGCTACGGTAAGGACACCACTAGAAGAAGAACGTATGAAAAAGTTCTTTGTACAAGCTCAGGACCCGCAATACTATGAAAGATTGATGGTCACAGAAAACCACAAATTCTTTGACATCAACAAGTTAGGAGAAAGAATTGAAGAAGGTATCAAGAGTGGCATGGTCACCAACTTTGAAGCTTTGCAGGCTACTAATAAAACTTTATAGTCTGGAAGAGTGTCGAAGAAGAAGAAAGTGGGCGCCGTGATAGTATCCCAAGGGCCAAATTCTCCACTCACCTATCAAACACCCCTGTCAGTATATCATCCCTCATCCCAAAAATTCCATTATCCTGCCACCACCTACCATACATATAATACCCAGCTAGCATACTATCACTCACCCCCACCTGCCTGACAGACTACCGTAAACCTGAGCCAACTTCTACCGTAGATCACCCAGGGAATATACCACTCTCGCTAAACATGTAGCACAACTGTATGAGTGGCTGAACGCCGCCGGTTATATCACTCATATCCATGCAGCTGCAACCAAAAACTCAGTACAGTGGATTAACCCCAACAAAACCTGTGTCTACCACTCTGGCATTAGAGGACACATCATTGAGGAATGTCGCATATTAAAGGATAAGATTCAAATGCTGATTAATACCAAAGTGATACAGTTGAAGGAGCCTATACCCAATGTCCACGACAACACCCTTCCCAAACATAAGGGTCATGCGTAAATATGATTGAAACTGATGAAGAATGGCACCAAGAAGAGTCCATTGGTCTTATTCGGGAGGGAAAAATTGCTGTGGCATCCCTTGTAGTACCCTCGTCTATTGTGGTGCAAGCAAAGACACTGTTTAAAGTCGAAGTGGCCATACTAGGCCACCGTGCACTATGATGGTAGCTCCATCACCTACCTATCACCCTAAAATTGTTCTGTAGGACTATGTAGCTGAAGCCAGAAGAAAAGGAAAGGCCAAGGTGTAAGAAGCGGGTGTCGCTCAAGCAATGAATAGAATAGGAAGAGTGTACACACCTAAGAATCTTGTCCAAGGACGGTCAATTAAGGAGAGTACACCAAAGCCATATATTGTGGAAGCAAGTACCGATGACTTACGGAGGAAAGTATACACCAAAGAGTATTTTGTTGTAGAAAATTTGAATAAAACCCCTGTCATGACCCAAATCGGAGGGCCGCGACATGCACCCAGCATCTTACTCAACCGAGTACCAACATAACGTATCTTTCTTATCACACCATCATGGGTAAATGGGCCAGAAATGCCGTAATGAGATAACCAAAACAATAATAAGGGAATACTAGATATAGGACAACTAGACATGATATAGAAACTTATACATGTGACATACGGGTCTATAAGGCCGACATGATCTTTTGTACGCTCAAAACATAGACTGACAAGTCCATACAAGAATCCATACACATGACATCTGTTTACAAGCTTCTAAGAGTACATAAACGTAATAAAGGTCGGGACAGGGCCCTGCCGTAACAATTAATACATGCCCAAATCATACTGACCAAATCATCAACTCCGGAGCAAGTTGAGTGTACCAACATGGAGTAAATTACTCAACCTGTAAGTCTGAATAGCTCTGTGAATCAAGAAACATTTACAATATCATGCATCTGCGTTTAAATGTCATATCATGCATAGGTATATGCGTACATAACATCATCAAGCCTCTTAGGGCATCCCATCATATCATATCGGCCTCTGTGGGCGAAATCATCAACGTATACTAGCTGATCATGTGGTGGTGCGTATATAAACCCATAACCTTTCCCCATACCCCATATACATATAATTTATGCGTATAAAAGGCATAAAACACGCAATAAGTGCAAAACACTAGCGATTAAAGCTCAAACTCAATAAAAGTACAGTAAATTGGAGTGCAATAAGCGACTAAAACACGAGATTATAGCCTACCATCTACGCCCCACACTTAAATCATTGCTCGTCCTCGTGCAATCAAACTACAATTTATAATGACATAACCTCATTAAACAACTCACCTAACTCATCACACCAAGAATATTTAAAATAGACTAAGCACAATAGTGTAACATCTTTACCTCAAGATTTGACTCACAAGTACCACGCATTATTCACAACCCGTTCACTTACTCTAACATAGACGTCATTGATGTTACCTTTCCTTCATGAATCAAGTTCCCTCACACAATAATCGAGAGTAGTTCCACACACAATAAAATTTAAAGAACGATCCGGAAATCAAGATAGAAAGAATTCCCTCACTCTCAGAAACAACATTCATATGCCACAAAAGATAAACCATAGGCTTTCCCTTAGTGTACTACTCTACTAATTGAGCTGATTCAGTCAAGGATCATGTAGAACTTTAATTGATTGTAATGTAGTACAAGACGGGTTGGATACATTTAGATATAAGAATGACTACACCTCCCTAAGCACTTCAATACATACAATTAACCGTTCAAAACCCCACACTTATTTCGAACAATAGCTCCACCTTCAAATCAATATACCTCAACTCCCAAACTATTTAAGCACAATTATATCAAGAGTTACCACTTAGCAATGAGTATTTTGCACAATAATAACAACTATTTTTTTTTTCAATACAAGTGGCTCTTATTTTTTTTCAAAACAGTGCACCCTTCTCCGTATTTTATTAGTTCCACTCAAAAGCCAAACCAACCACCCCACACTTCAAATTTTACAAAGTTCATAACAAATTCAAGTGCTTATGAGAGATACAAGGTTCAATTAGATGTTCAATTCAAACAAAGGGGTAAAACTTGTAATGTGGTTGCCAAAGAAATAGGATTATAGGCTCAAAGGGGATAACTAAGATACATAACAATTAGGTGGGTAAACCTATATATCTGGCTCATCAAAGAAACGCCTACATCACTTCCAAGACTGAGCAAAACTACTATTTCATTTTGCAAACACATGGGGCAAGTACTAGACATAAAATGCAATGCACGGAATAACAAAAACCTCACACACACATGGCACATAACTCACTCAGGATTGTACTCATCAAGACACTCTAGTGAAAGCAGTTAACCAAAGTTAAAATTATACAATTTAAGGTACTTATACAAGATTCAAAAATTGAACCTAAGCGTCACAACTAAAGCACTCACTATTCTATAGGCATAATAAAGTTAGGAGATATTGCTTCAATTCGAATCATAGCACAAGGTTTCCTACTCCTACTCCTAACAAAAATAAAAACTAACTATACCCAGTTCAAAAAAAACCCTTGGAAAAGAACCGCGACACAAAGAAAAACAAAGGGGAAATTATTACACTACCTACAAAAGAAAATATTTTTGTCTTTTTCTTTCGACTTAAATCCCTCAATAAACCTATCGAATGATATCCATCATCGGGAAAAGTCGAAAATTTTAAAAATTTTATATTTTTTCAATTTTTTCCTACTACTCAACTAACAAAAGCAAAAGCAATCAAGCTAAATAAAGCAAAAACTATGACTACAATATATACAACATACAAATATCCCCCACCCCACACTTGAAGTTGTGGCATGTCCCCATGACACACAATTAAAAGCATAAGGTAGAGGAAACTTCCCTGAATTTCTAGTCGGGACCTGAATCGAAGTCGGGATCCATTCCATGCGCCCGAACTAGTGCACACATCCGTGCAGACAGCTTCTTCTCAACCTTCTTGGGATACACCCCACACTTGTCTTTTGAATTCACTGTTGCCTTCTCTTTCACGCCCTTCACCTTCCATTGAACACTTGTAGCTGGTTTCTCCTTTATCACTCCATTTTCTACATTCATCTCAAAAGTCAATATCTCCTCACCCACTCTAAGCATGAGTTTTCTATCATGTATGTCTAATATAGCTCTACCCGTTGCTAAAAATGGTCTTCCTAGGAGGAGGGGGACCTCCTTGTTCTCCTCCATATTCACCACTATGAAATCTAAAGGAAATACAAACTTATCCACCTACACCAAAACATCTTCTACTATCCCCTTGGGTGTTATAGACATTTGGTCTGCTAGCTTCAAAGATATTGGCACTGACCTTATCTCTCCGATCTCCTTCTCCAGTTTTCTATAAATAGACAATGATATTAGATTAATTGAGGCAACAGAATCACATAAAGACTCATCAATATGTAAAGTGCCTAAAGAGCAAGGTATAGTGAAACTCCTTGGATCTCCACACTTTTGTGGGAGTTTATTTTGTAAGATCGCGCTGCAATGCTCTGTGAGCTTGGCCACTGAGGTCTCCTCTATCTTTCTCTTCTTTATAAGGATCTCTTTCAAGAACTTTGTATAAGCTGGCATTTGTGAGAGAAATTCAATGAATGGCAGGTTTACATTAACCTCTCTCAGCATATCTAGAAATCTCTCAAACTGCTTGTCTAGCTTTTCTCTATAGATCTTTTGGGGAAATGGTAGAGCATGCATGTGCTTGCTCACATCATCAGATTCCTCTCTCCTTGAAGTTTCCTCCTTCTTCTTTTTCTTAGCTCCCTTCTTGCCTTTCTTCTTCTTAGTCTTTTCATCATCTTCTATTTTCAGTTCTTTCCCACTTTCTTTATCAGGCGCAACTTCATTGTAAATTGGAGTGGGATCTTTCAACACATGTCCACTTCTCAAAGTCACAACATTTACCTTTTCTTAGGGATTGTTATCAATATCAGCTAGCAGAGTACCTGGGATTCTCTCAGATAATATAGTTGCAATTTGTCCTACTTGTATCTCCAAACTTCGCAAACCTGTCCCAAGTTCTTTAATAGCTGCACCATGAGCATCTAATCTCTCATCTATCTTGACAATGAATGACTTCATCAGATCTTCTAACACAAACTGAATAGGTTGTTGAGGCTAAAAATGTGGCCTCTGTTGATTTTGGAAACCTGGAGCTCCTTGTCCCTGAAATCTAGGGTTATTTTGTTGCCATGAATTTGCAGTACCCCCGGGTGAACTCCATGAAAAAACATGTTGTTTTTTGCCCATTGCATTGAAATTATAACTACCCACAGCATCCACTTCCTCCGTGGTAGCTTGACACTCATGAGTAAGGTGTCCTCTTTCACATATGTCACATGCTACATGAGGCTCATTATGTATAGAAGCTAAGGTCAGCTTCTTTATTTCTTTTGTCATGGCATCAAGTTGTACCTGCACAGATGTGTTAGTATCAACCTGGTGAACACCAATTGATCTTCTTCTTTCAACAATCTCATAGGGCCACTGATTTGCATCTTCAGATAATTCATCTAGAATAGTGACAATCTCCTCTGGAGACTTTTTCATCAACGGGCCTCCAGCTGCATTACTCAATGTTCTACATGAGGCTAGTGTCAAACCATCCCAAAAATCCTGGAGTCGTATTCAGAATTCGATTCCGCTATGTTGACACTTTCGCACAATCTCCTTAAATCTTTCCCATGCTTCAAACACAGTCTCAGTCTCATTCTGGAAGAAGTTATGGATTTCTCTTCTAAACTTGACGTCTTAGCTGAGGAGAAATATTTAGCAAGAAACTTTAAGGTCATCTCCTCTCTACTTGATTCCTGGGGCAAACTTCGAAGCCAGTGTTTTGCATCATCTTTCAGAGTGAAGGGGAATGCCCTTAAGTACACTACATCTTGTGACACACCATTGTATTGAAAGGTGTTCATGATCTCCTCGAAGTCCATTAGATGATTGTTTGGATATTCATTCATCTTTCCTCAGAAGACATAGTTGTTTTGGAGGGTTTGGAGCAACTCTTGCTTCAATTCAAAATTGTTGGCTGCAACTGGAGGCGGTCTCACTCTGGATAAACCTTGGTTATAGACCAGTCTAGCATAATCGCCAAGTGGTCTCCCATGGCGGGGAGCTATGTTTTGGAACTGGTCTGGAACCAAGGGCTGATCCCTCTCCTCTTCATAAGTAATTTGTGCATCTCTAAGTGCTGCTTCTTCAGCATCCCTTGCAGCTTTCTCTCTGAGTTGGGCAGCCTCACTTGTAGCCAAATCTACATTATCATCATCTCTGGCCATAGTTTCTTTGGTTGAGGATTTCCCAACCTTCTCAATTTTCTCGGGGATAGTTCGTTCCTTCCTCAACTGTTGCAGTTGTCTTTCAATTTCGGGTTCGTATGGTTACACTTCATTCCCAGAAGATCGAGTCATGCACCAATCTAACCTGTAGACTGCGCACAGTTAAAGAACACCAAACGTAAAAAGAGAAAAATAAAATAAAAGAAAAATTCCTGAATTAGCACTCCAAACTATTTCAAACACTATTGATTTCCAGTACCCGGCAATGGCGCCAAAATTTGACGAGCGCAAAACACACGCTTAAATATGCTCGTTACTCGAATATAGTAAAGTAAAATGTCATATCCACAGGGATTGGAGTTAAACAGTATTTTCGTAGTTTACAGCTCGATTGCTATCCAAATTGATCAACACTTTAGAATTATGTGTCTTAAAACTAAAATTAACTAAGATTCTAAGCTATTGACTAGTGACAAACAATATAAGTAATAAGCAAAGGAAGATATTAATGGGAGAAGATAGGGTTGATTGGATAGGTTCAAGACAAATGTTTGTGGTTTGACTCTAGATAATTCACTTCTAATGTTCAAGTGAGTCTCTCGAATTCATTTGGTTATTAATTCAATTGTTTAGTAGAAACTCCTTTCTCTATTAAGTCTCAATCTCACAATATGAACCAATTTAAGCTCGTGAAGTTTTGCACAAATTCGTAGTGGAATAGTCTTTAGGAGAACCTCTGTCGATTATCCTCCTAACAAGGTTTAATCAACAACTCAACTAGCCTCTTCCGATTACCAAGAAGAATTAATGACTTCATCCAGCAAAATATAATGCACAAATATGACAAGTTATGCCTCTCTCGATTACATGAACAAGTGAATAGAGATGCAACGATTAAAACATACAAAACGATTCAATACATAAAAACTAGAGTTATGATCCACAAACAAGTATCACAACACTAAATCCATCAAATCCTAAAGAGAACTACTCCATAGATATGGAGCAATTCATCACAAATTTGTTTACGTTAAAGGAAAACATAAACGATCCAAACTCTTCTCTTGAGTGAGGATTGAATGATGAAATCATTGTGCTTTTCTTCTCAACCTCCTCCTTAGCTTCCTTAGGTCTAAGATATGTGAAAAGTCCTCAAAAATAATGTTTTAACATGTATTGATACTAAGTAGGGTCGGGCCTAGATAAAAACACATTTTTCCTACGCGAAATAGGATTCTGGCTCTGTAAAAATTGCACAGGCGTGCCGCATTGGGCGACGCGCCATGCGGTCATTAGTGGGAAACTTCAAAGAGCATGTAATTTGATAAGACAACAAATTTGTACAGTCGCGGCACGCTACGCGTCGCCCCACGCACGGCTGTGGGCTTTTCTAAAAGCCAGCTTTTTTCTTTGATCTCAGAAGTTTAGACATGGTTCTCGACCCCCAAACGTGATCCCGGCTTAATCCCTTGGGCTTTTACTCAGATTTCAAAGCTCCAAATAGCTCGAATTCATTCCATAACATCTACATCACCCGGAATCACTCCTACAAGGCAGAAAACACGCAATAAGATCAAAACACTAGCAATTAAAGCTCAAACTCAATTAAAGTGCAGTAAATTGGAGTGCAAATGCGACTAAAACACGAGATTATAGCCTACCATCAATGCACGCAGGTGCAGGTAGACAGGCTGACGGCCCCCCTTCATAGGATTCAAAATCAGCGAGAGTTGGTGTGCCCCACCTGATCCGGAGCAGCTATTGATTTTGGTACGCTATTTTTGTATGTAGATATGGGTACGACGGGGCCTAGTCCCATTCTTTATACAACTGTACACTCTATTAGAGGTCTGTAGATAGTCATGTATAGTTAGATAGTAGTGGTTTTGTTGGCTTCTAGTTTTGGATATATAGTTCTATAGCAGCCTTGTCGACTCGCCCTATCGTATTCCGTATGTATATGTATATATGTCTTTTGGGCATGTTTTCCTCACGTATGTTATTCACGTGATTCAGCAGTTTATTGATAGATGTTATACATGACCTACCCTTAATTCATGTTTATATCTTAGATGCATGCTTATAGGTGTTCGACATGTAGGACTCGGACACTTGTCATGGCCTATCGGTTTGGGTCATGACAGTAACACTAAAAAAGCTAACACGCGGAATTCAACTAGGACATTTGAACTCAAACAAAGTAAGATGGGCAACACAGTACCCAAGAGATGGTCCCGCACATATAAAGACAAAGCTTCCCCAAACCATAAACAAACAAATAATCTAAAAGTCACACAATCCGACTAAGTAAGGAAGTGTAGCACATTAAACGAGTAAGGATGTACGGCAAGTAAAATAGGTATCACGTAGAAGCATTTAACAAGTGAAACCATGTAACAGTGAATGCATCTATAGCAAGTAAAGACATATGTAAGTGAAGGCATGTAATAAGTAAAATCATGTAGTAAGTAAAAGCATGTAGCAGGACAAGGCATCTGAAAAGTAAATCACGTAACAATTAGAGGCATGTAACATGTGCGAGCTAATAACAAGTAAAGGCATGAATTCAAAGAGGGCACGTAGCATAAGTAAATCAAGTAAAAGCGTAGGAGTAACAGTAACAAACAACATGGTAGAAACATATATATAACAATAACATGCCAATTAGGAAACACATAGGTAACTACATAAAGAACACCAACATGAAAGCAACATACAATTAACAAACATTAACAGAAAAAATTAGAGTGCATGTAAGTGTTAAAAGAATGAGTAATCATATCAAGAATCCAACTCCCATCCTTCTCACATGGTAACAACCAATCGACCAATCATGTTTCAAACTACACGATAATACTCATCGTGCTAACATTATATCAACCACACAAAAATACCCACTGTGCCAAATATAGCCCCAAGGCCCCAGTCATCATCTTATATTGCGGAATAATGAAGCTCATGTAACATGAAAATAACAGGTATAGATATAGTTTCATGATGCTACGATCAAGTTAAGCATGTAAACAAATCTCAAAATCAGCACATTAAATCCTTTTAAGCTGTCATATATTCTAACATAATTTCTAATATAGATAATTGAGTTTATTAGTCATGAAATTAAATGAATCATAAGTCAAGGGATTACCAAGGTCAACAAAGCTCAAAGTAGCATATAATTTCCCCTCCCAGGCATGGAAACCCTAGCACATGCATATACGCTCGTCACCTCATTTTTGCATCACTCCCGCATGTAGAAAACAATATCATTTAGTAGGAAAAATTTCCCCAACAAAGCTAGGCAAGACACTTACCTTATTCTGGTACACAATCAACAATCAACCATGGCTTTTCCTTTAGAACAAGCCTCCAAACCAATCGAATCTAGCCAGATATCGTTGGAACAATTTAAAGCAAGCTTTTGAAACTACCCACGAATGAAAAAGATTCGATTTTGATCATAATTGAAAAAGTCAATAAAAAGTCAACTCGGGACCACGTGGTCGAAATCCGAGATTCGGAGTAAATTCCGATTACCCAATTCATCCCTGGGCCCAGAAATGTGATTTATTTCGAAATTCGACCTCAATTCGAGGTCTAAATCTCAATTTTACAAAATCCTTAAATTCTACCCAAAACCCCCCAATTTCTACTTTGAAATGCATAGATTTGATGTTAAAATTCATGAAAACATAGTTGAAATTTATTGAAAACTAGTTAAAGATGCTTACCGGTCTCATCCAAATTCACACCTCAAATCAAGGTTATGAAATAGTCGATTGCAATAGTAATACCCAACAAGGAGTCGGGGTCGAATTCCACAGGGAGCTATACGTGGAATTTAGGAGTATATATTGCAGCGTATGAGTTTGAATTATCTCAATTTACACTTCCACATATTGGTGTTGGTTTTATGCCTATTTTAAACTAATATTGTGAAGTAAAGAAATGAAACTAGGAAAAAAAAATTCTTGTTTTTCAAGTTTTGTAAAAAGCCTAGGGCTATGACTACCACCTAGGTGTTTGCCTAATAGGATATAAGCCTTAATGCATACTTTGTTGATCGGGGTGTATTATACCTATCAACACTCAATTACCCACTCAATACCTCTCGGTCAGAGAGTGACTTTGCCCAATTTGGCTTTCTCAAGTCCAATGGGTGTTGCACAAAACTGTTGATAAAAGCTCAAGTCGGGTTATTACTATCTCTAGGTTGAACCCTTTAATTGGGATTATTAATCTCTCGATTGACCCAATTTCTTGTTAGTCAAG